CATCGGTTTGTTCATTCGAGACTCAGAGCCTTGAAGCTGCTATGCGACTCTTTTCTGAGTCTGGTGTCCTGTCGGGCGCACAGTTAAACCGCTCCAAGTGCGAGGCACTTCTGCTCCGTGGCGCCTCCCCTCCAAACTTGCCGGCGGATATTCAGGTCGTCACCGCGCTCCGCATTCTTGGCTTATTCTTCGACTGTCGTGGCGTGGCGTCCCGCACCTGGGAGGTTGCATTCACTAACCTCGAACGGCAGGTCTCTGCTGCCGAAGCGTTCGCGTTGTCTTTTCGAGACCGTTCTTACCTTGTTAAGGCCGTTTTCTGCGGCCCTCTCTTTCGCGCCGCTCACGTCGCCATGTCTCTCCCCCCTCCCCCCGGTTCATTCACCGCGTCACTTCTTGTCTCTTTCGCATTTATTGGAACGGGGCTCCGCGCATGTCACCTGGGTGGTACTTCGTCTCTCCACGTCCCTGGGCGGCAGAGGCATGCCGTGTGTCGACTGTGTCGACACCATGATCCGTTTGCTGACCCTTCGTACCGTTTTGGGAGTACTGGAGAACACTGAATACCCTGCGCGTTCTCTTGCCCTCTATCTCATGGGACCTTCGCGCCGTGCGCTCGTTCCTCGCGCTTTGGGTAACCTCTAGCCTAGCGCCGAGTACACTCCGCCGTTCTACCAGGCAGTGGTGAGCCTCCATCAGGAACCGCTCCGCGCGTTCCCGAACCTTGTGGTGCGGGACGTATACCCCTACCCGTGTTGCTGAAGAACTTTGCGTTCAGCGCGTCACTCCCGAAGAGCGCCGAAAGGCGACCGCTTTCTTCTGGTTTTCATTGGAGTACCGCCGTCCGCCTGGGTCTGTAGATGATTTTGAGTGGCGTCGAGGGTGAGAAATCCTGCCCACGAAGCAACGTCTCCACCGCCGGGGATTAGTCCCGGACCCCCGTTGCCCCAACTGCGGACAACTAGAGACTGTTTCGCATATCTTCCAAGAATGTCCGGTAGCGCAAACATTTTGGTGCCTAGTTCACCACGGGTTTCGACTCTTGGGAGTTCGCCACTTTGCCCTCGGTGGCCGGTGCCCACGGGGTGGCCTGGCTTTGCTTCTCCTGGCCTTCGGACACTTAGTTTTCTGGAAGAATCGCTGTACCGCGGTGGGCCAACAGCGGTGCACCCGTGCGATGTGGCCACTCCTGTCCCAGCTCTGTGCAGCCTTGCTCCGCCAAATCGCCTCTGAACTTTTCTGGTTAAGCGAACGTGAAATCCTGCGCAGGTGGTCCTGCCGTTACTTTACTTCAGTCCACGGCCGCATTTCCTTAGCATTTGTCCCCTAGCCCAGCTCTGAGTGGAGTACGCGCCCTCGCAAGGACGGTTTTAATTTGACCGTATTTTTTTCATTGTCCGGTGTAATACCGGCGGTTTTGTTGTAAATCCCTTGCGTCGCGTCGCGTTATTCTGAAACGGCCTAGTCCGCCCGTCTTTGCGCCTTGTTTTGCCCTGTCATTGTACCCTTCGTGACCTTGTGCCAAACGTTAATAATATCTTTCTTAAAAGCTGAAGGATCACCCTTCCTATAATTCCTTGAGTGCGGGCCAGGGCACATGGGAGAATTTTAGACAATATCAAAATATAAAGTGCTGATTTAAGGCTTGTGTATTTTTTATATGCCTTGCCAGATCTGGAATCTCATACTTCGACAGATGTGGGATTTTCATAACTCGCCAAGGATATCAGACTAGATCTGGCATTATGAGGCTATATCTGGCAGATATACTATATCAGGTGATATGTGGCCAATTTTCGATAGGCCATATCTGAAGTATTTAGATCTGGCCAGATATGCACTTTTTGTAAGGGATAGTTGCGGGTGACTATATTATTGATGTACTGAATATGTCCAAATACGGAGTTGCGGATAACCTTAACTTGTTATCGGGTCTTGGAATAGACAACGTAATATCAAACTTCACGAGGGAAGAGCATCTCGGAAACCCAATTACAAGCACATGTATTCATCATATTATTGCAAGGCTAAGCGAACTAAAATTGTTTTTGGTGTAATTAAACAAAAAGTGGCCGATCACTATTTTGTAGCGCTTGTTGTGTATGGGGATGTCCGGAACAGCAAACCTAATTGTCTGTGTAAGTTGATTATTTAGAACAAAAAAAGTAGATAAATTAATTATTGAATACGACTAGGATAGTCTACTCACTTTACATTATATTACAACCCACCGAAGAACGACCAAATGGTTTGCAAATATTTAGAGTGCACGTGAAAGAAAAATTAAGCTAAAACATACACAACGTGAGAATGTATGAATCACTCCAGAAATATTGGAGCTGTGCAATGAAAAGGACAAACAGTGGCACAGATGTAAAGCCAACCCTGGAAATAGCGTATTGAAAGAATAATTTAGAAGCCTCCGTAATAGGGTCACTGCAAAAATGAGATTAGCTAACCAAAGACATGACATTGCCCATTTGCAGACTCATCAGAGTGACCCCCCCCCCCCCCGCAAAAAAAAAAGGAAAACGTGCGATGTTGTTTACGAATTAATAGGAGGTAAAAGTAAAGACAATATTGATCAGATGGTAGTAAAAGCATTTGAAGACTCCAATGTAGAGTCCTTGTGCAATAGGTTCATTGCCTCGTTCATACAAGGTGCAGCAGATTTGCAATACTAGGGATTTGGCGATTCTAACGTTTTCCTACCATGTGAAGAAAGGTGCCGAAATTCCGCCTACTTGCCACGGATGCCAGAAGAAGACTTTTAAGAAGTAATCAATAGTATGTCGGTGGCCAGACCACCTGGGTATGATAGAATTCATTTAAGGGATTGTTGTAGTCAATTTCGAAAAACTAAAACATCTTTTATTAAGAATAGCTAATTCATCTTTCTCGGAGAAAAAAATCCGAATCGTCTTAACATTGCTGTTGTGAGGTCTGTTTTTAAGAAAGGAAGTAGAAAAGAGATGCTAAGCAATAGACCCATTTCTCTTTTGCTCTTACTATCCCTAATTATGAAAAAGTTTGCATTTTGGTCTATCACCTCCTTTTGTGATAAACATTCTTTACTGTGTCATTTACAGTACGGGTTTCGACAAAATATAGGAACAATTACATTGCTGCAAGATTTTTGTGACCACATTCATTATAATATTGATAAAATAATTTCGTCCTTTCTTTATTTTATTTCAAAAACGCGTTCGATTCAATTGATCACAGGTTACTCGTATGCAAACTAGAGCACCTGGGCTTTAGAGGCCCATATATAAACTTTCTAACCAGCTACCTTTAGAGCGGAGTCACTTTGTAACGATTGTTGAGTTTAAAAGTAATTGACTGATACTTCCTTTTGGTGCCCCAAGGATCTACTCTGGGTCCTTTTGTTTTAACATCTATGGGAATAAAATAGATAAATTGAACTTTTTTTCCACATGTTTTCCAATCCGCCGATGACGCCGCTCTTGTACTCGCGGGAAACAATGAATCGAAAGCTCTGTCATCCCTTCAGGCCTATATCCACGAGCTAATGGCGTGGTTCATAAAAATCGTATTTGTGTTTACATAGGTAAAGCCAAACCTATATGTTTCCGTAATCCTCATAAAACAATAACGTTTAATATACCGCTGCGTCTACATCGATCCAACTGCCAGAGATGTAAATTTATGCCGCTTGAATATGCATCTTCGATAAAATATGTTTTTTTTTTTATGAACATCTTTCTTGGAATAGTCACATTGAGTATCTTGCGAATCGACTTCACAGGGGTTCTGCATCTTTATATCGTTTCCGAGGTGTAACTAACCTGACTTTGAGAATGAGGATCTTTCAAGCTCTGGGAGAGTCGGTGCTTCGGTATGCTGTCACGCTTTATGGTTCTTGTTCGAACTCTAATAAAAGTAAACTAGATAATATTTTGCATAACATTTTTTGAAATTTAGCACATGAAACCAAATTGGATGAGTTAAGAACTGAATCAAAAATGCGTTCGCTACAGCTTTTGTCAATTGAAAGATTATATGTCTATGAAATACTAGTTAAGATTTATTATAATAGTACGTTTAAGAAACCTGTAAAAAACAAAAGGTTTTGAGAAAAATAGAGCGGTTCGACCTCCCTTGGGTGTACACAAATTACAGAAAGCGGGATCGGTCTTTTTACGTTCCACACTACTTTAATTTGTTGCCCAATGAACCTTTACATCTACAGTCATTGAAAGTGATAAAAAAGAGCTAAGAAACTGGTGTTGTACCTACGATTTTTAAATCGTTGTACTGGTTAAGGAAACTGCGTTTTTCTCTTTTACGTTATTTGATTTTGTTAGTAGTTCCTCTGCTGGTCGCATGTCACACCTACAAGCACTCTCGTGCTTTGTCGGACCTGTTTAAAACTATATATACACTGTTAAAAAAAGTGCCGTTATATTACAGAACCGTACTGCGCTAACTCATGATGCCAGACATTATCTGTAACCCTCCGTAATACCACCAAAGCCGTAGCTGACAGTTTACATTATCATTTCTGTACAGCAGACATACAGCAATAGAAGCGCAGTACGCAAGTACAGGACTAAAGCCGCAAACATAGCTCGAGGTATCCAAGCCGTCGAGTGTTCAGACGGTATTGAAGGCGTAAGGGAAGGGCACGGTTTCAGTCCCGGATTTTCATACTGCACTTCCATTGCCGTATTGTAACGGTAACAGTTCAGTTACCGTACCCTTCCCTTACGCCTTCAATACAGTCGGAACGCTTGACGGCTTGCATACCTCAAGTTTAGTTTGCAGCTTTAATCCCGTACTTGCGTACTGCACTTCTATCGCTGTGTGCTCGCTGTACGGTAACAATAATGTGAACTCTCAGCTACGGCATTGGTAGTATTACTGAGGGTTACAGATAACGTCTGGCATCATGAGTTAGCGCAGTACAGTTCCGTAATATAACGACAAATCCTTATAAACAAGTGTAGTGCGTCTGAAAAAAGGGACAAGACAAGACGGAGGCAGTTTTGAAATTGAAGAACTATATTGTAAACCGTAAAAGAACATAATTATAAAGAAACCTTCATGGCATCCGATCTATCATCAGATGAGCTGAAAATAAAACAAATTCATATTCAGATGATTGAAAAGGCTACGGGAGGACCACAACCACTTGCACAAATTGCAGAGCCGCATGCACTTGAAGTCACAAAAACCTGTACAGCGGGGCTCCCAAGCTCACAGAGCGATGCTCTAAGCCTCTGGTAGCAGCGCGCAAAAACACAAGGACAAAGGGAGGAAATGCACAAGGCGAGCGCTGAACTTCAACTAAAAGTTTAATGAAAAGGAAACGCCGAAGTCCTGTGCATTCGTCCCTTTGTCCGTGTGTTTTTGCATGCTGCTACCAGTTGTAATCATGCACCAACTCGCCTGTGCATTGCCACATTGAGCCACTCAGCACCATGACAGATCAAGCTTGCTGCCCTCGACCCCTGTGAATGCAGTGTCGTGCCGCTATTTGCTTTTCTTTTTAATACAAAACAAGACTGGAAACCTTTTGATACCACATCGTACACATGCCAAATCAAATATGTACTCACACTGTTCCATTTTTTCTCAAAAGCAGCAAGATCTGTGGCGGCTTTGATTGCTCTTGCCCGAGCTCCTTTCGACCTCCCGGCCTCCTGTCGTGACCCATCATGTTGTTTGATACCAACTTGGTATCTGAAACAAATAGCAGATTGGCCCATAAGTATTTGGTCAGAAACCAGACAAGTGAAAAAAAATTGCAGTGAAGGATTTGGGATCAGTACTTGCTGATATTTTACATGCACAACTAATGTCGAAAGCCCCAAGCTTTGCCACCAAAGTCACATAGGTGCACATTTCAAAAGTATAAGTGTGTTGAAGGTTCCTAAAATAACAATTAAGCCATAACAAGCTGAGCAAAACCTACATTTAGGCCAGCAGACTGTGCACTGTGCACTTAAAGAAAATATGTCAAGGTACAAATTCATGCCTAGATTTTGAGGAAAATAAAACAATGAGGGAACAACAAAAAAAAATATTGTAATAATGTGTCATTTTTCTGCAAGAGGAGAAAATCTGGCACTCAAGGCTTCTTTCACTCAGATGCGATGGGGATACAGAACTCGGAATATTTCAGAAGTTAGAAGCCCCATGTGGCACATCTTAAAGGACACATGCCAAGGAAAAAAAAAAATTTTTAGACAGCTTAGATGGAAAAAGGATGTCATAAAACGATTTTACAACGAAGAAAAAAATTTTTAGAGCTATATTTACGGCGCTATACGGATTTGTAGTTGGCGCTCGCGGTAGCCGCCGCTGGTCACGTGGTAGGCCCGCGCGCCGCCGCGCTGCGTCGCCGCCGCACGCTGAGCGTTGTGCGAACGCCGCTTCAACGCGTTTCTCCACGCCGCCGTCGCCGCCGCCGCACAAGTTCGTCTGCTTCGGGGCGCCGCCGCCGTCGTCTGACCGGCGCACAGGTCTATCACGTCTGCTTGCGCTTTTTCAGGAGTTTCCTTTGGGCTGTAAAAGTTACTTATTCGTCTTGGTTTCTTGTTATACTTCAAACAAAGATGAATAAGTTACTTTTAGAGGCCATAGGAAGCTTCCGAAAGAGCGCAAGCACCACGTGATAAATAAAGACCAGTCACGTGATAAATACAGACCACTTTTCCGCGGTGCCCGCGGGCGCCAACTACGAATTCGTTTTGCGCCGTAAATATAGCTCTAAAAATTTTTTTTCTTCGTTGTAAAATCGTTTTCTGGCGTCCTTTTTCCATCTAAGCCGTTTAAAAAAAAATTGTTTTCCTTTGCATGTGTCCTTTAAGGGGTAGGATTCATATAATGTAACTTTTAGACCTACAAAACACTAAAAACATGTTAATTTAAAAAGATATTGAACAGACAGCGATGTAATTGATTTGAGTCATTTGGGAGAAGCTTTGGAAGCAAACAAAAGTAAATTTTATAGCAGCGACATAAACAGAAGAACAAGTACATACTTCGCGCCAGGGATGGGCAGTACTTCAAATACAAGTATTTGAACTATGTGTTTCAAATACTTTGTGTATTTTGCATTTGTATTTAATTAAAAATTCTGTAATGTATTTGACGTGTGTATTTAAATACTAAAACGTGTGTATTTCAAATACAATTGTAATTAAATACAATTTTGTGGGTGAAAATACATCCCTCAAATTTACTGTCACTGTCCAGAGCAGGAAGAAAACTACGTTCTGCACCGAATGCAGTGTCTCTCAATCAAGCACAAGCGTTTAATGACTTTGTAATTACGGTGCTAGTCCAGGGAAAGAATAGTGACAAAATCGACCTTCACAGGCAGACTGGCTAAATAAGTGAAGGTGACAACTTGTGATGCTTTCCAGCCTGATTTCCATCCATACTTTTGCCTCGAACATTCTAAATGCGCGGGTCATCCAGATGTTTGTAACTGGTGCGAGTTGCAACAATAAAAAAATCTGTAGCTAGTGCTGCGCGTCTTGGTCGTCTCGGTTCTTTGATTGTCTATACCAAAATGTAATCAAAAAAAAAAAAACTGCTTGAAGCTCTGTACTTTTTTCACCTATTACGTCCAAGCTGATTACATTTTTTTTGTGATTATATTTGTATTACGTTACTAGAGCCTCGAGCATTAACTCCAGAGTGTGCGATGCAAAATTAAAATGAGATAGCCAGAAACCTGTTGCAGGTGCCCTGAAGTCGCTGATGCAAATTTTAAGGAATGTATTTGGAAAAGTATTTGGAAGAGACCAACTACATTTGGTTGTATTTGTATCTTGTACTTAAATACTTTTTGCAAAAGTAATTAGATTTGTAATTAAATACATTTTTGACGAAGCATTTTGTATTTGTATTTCGATACATATTTGCATGCATTTTGCCCATCCCTGCTTCGTGCTTATTTCTTTTATTACAATACAGCATTAAAATTTGCCTGTTGTCCTACACAGTCACAAAGCAATTCCTCCTCTGCATTTCTACTCGTAATTAAGCAAGCACCCATTTGCATAATTATTATTGCAGACAGTTGAATGACCTAAAATACTCAACTAGCTGTTAATGATTGCTTAAAAGCACCAGACATGGCAAAAGGAATGTTGTAAGAGAATCATTCTCTTTTTTTAGGAAGCCACATTTTGGCCAGCCACTGTCGAAAGAACATACGATTGATAAACATGTATAAAGACGAGAAAAAGGTATTCAGGTACAAAATCAGACGTGAACCACATGCTACTAAAACATGCAGAAATAAAGCTTCAAAAAGTTGTGAAAAGGTTGTATATCAGTCAAATTTAGTTATGAATTAGAGATCATCTGCACATATCACTTCTAGGCACTTTTAGAGTGATACAGAATAGTGTGGTGCAGTAAAGAAACTCTTAAATAAATAATTAGCTGAGTATATTAAACATATTTTGAGGCTCCACTTTGTTTCCAGCCAAAAATAATTTAATGATGTATACTGCTTATGACTCTGCCTTCTAACTGAATGCCAAATAGAATTATAAGTAAATGACACATTCAGTAAAGATAAAAAAATAGGAATAGTAGATATATTGACATATTTATTTGTGATTTCTGAGATAGGATCAAACATAGTCACACTGTAACATTAGGTGAAATTTTTAAATCGAATTATTATGCAAGATATAACAACCTTTAAAGTAACTGAAGAGTGTGTTGGTAAAATTCACAGACCACAGAAAGAAAAAAACATACCCGGACGAAGGACGACAAACATTTCTTTTAATTAACAACATGAATGAGCTTAAAAGCACTTCCTTCAATTCAGACCGCCAAGGAAATTGAGAGAAAGGGAGGCAGAAAGAGAGAAAGGTAAGTGTCAAAAATTGTAAGGAAGGAAATAAGAAAAAGAGTGAAGCAACAGCATGAGTTACAATTCTAACTTTACACTTTCCTTTTTATCTTCCTGCCTCCCTTTCTCTCCATTTTCTTGGCAGTCTGAATTGCACGGAGTGCTCTTAAGTTCATTCCTGTTGTTCTTAGTTGAAAGAAATGTTTGTCGTCTCCTTCGTCCCGAGCACGTTTTATTCATTCGGTGGTCCAAGAATACAACACCCTATTGCGGTTTAATAATGGACTCTGAAATTGAGCTTGGAAATGTGGGTAGCCAGTGGCAAACTAAAGGGCAACTCTACTCAATTAAAAAAATTTCAAGATAGTGGATGACCTTACTTTGAAAAGCACTCATGAACAACTCTACATTGTTTCACGAAAAGTAGAATATTGTTTGTGCAACTTTGCTATTTATAACTCAAGTCGCAAATTGAAACCGAAACTTCGGCAAAGGGCAAGCAGCGACGTCAGTTGCATGCACACTCATGTCCATGGCAGATGCATGATTACGTGATTTACCCCACTCACTGGGTCAACTCTAGGTAGTGTTGTCTGAACTGACTGGACATGTCATGGCGTTGAAAGAGAAAAAAGCCGGTGTATACAACAGACATCAACATGACGTCACATCTGAAGGAAGTGCCAAAGTTGGCTAGCCTGCACATCGCTCGCTAAAATTAGCAGATTAGCGCTTGTCAAACTTTGAGGGTCCAATTTTATATACAGAAAGATTTCAGTTGTAGCCTTCCTAGATGATTATAAAGAGAACTAATCGTTTTCTCAGCCAAAATTCAGCAGAGTTGCTATTTATTGCCTCTCATGAGGCTCAAAATTATGAAGGAAATAAACCATACCTCTGAATGAACTCAAGTGTGGTTCCCGCACCTTTGGCATACCGGATGTTTAAACAATAATAAAGGGCGAAAAGGAGCTCCACAGCTTGCAGAGAGCCCACATCTTCCACCATCACCTCATGGTCCACAAACAGCTGGCAGCTGCATTCGAAAAGTGAGCGGCCTAGGAAAGAAACAAGCGATTAATGTAATTAATGCGGAGAAAATGTGTTAGTATCAGATGTATCGACCTATCTAGTCAAGTGACCAGAAAAGTCATGCGACCGACACCACTACGCCGGCTTTTTCTCTAATAGGGCTTTTAACGCTCACGCATTAAATGAAAAAAAATACCATTGTCATATTCACATCTGGAAACTTCTATAGAGGTATTACCAGCAGGGACACTGAATAGGTAAGCACACTGATATAGGATTGTGACGCATATCTGAGACCTGAGACTGAGATGCATCACAATCACAGATAAGGCACACCTTATATGCCAAGCCAAATAAGGGTCAAACTAAATAGTGTTGAGCTACCATACCCAGTAATGACATTAGGTTATGCAAAGTGCTCCTGAAGGCTTGAACAAAACAAAAAATTTGTATATGAGCATGTAGAATCAAACACTTTTTGTTGAGTTTGTCAACAGAATCAGTAGCATGGAAGTCTGATGCCAACGTGCAATGCCAGTCGTCGGTTTCGTTTAAATTGCTTTAGCTGGAAATTAAAAGACCGGAGACCGCATGCGACCACACATTCCACGAGCAGAAAATTTGGCTGTTCGGGTTGGACAAGACACAGAATGCAGGCCCGAACAATCAAATGCCTCACAGGCACCTGCTGTTTGGGCTGTGTGCCGTTTTGTGGCACCTGCACTCACAAACCAAAATAAAAACTTCTCTTTTTCTTGCTGGATCAATCAAGCATTGATTGTCGAAGTATGGTATAATACCAGGACATGTGCTTTACATTGGTGCTTGATAAGGCTGCCGAAACCAAACAATATGGTCGTCCATCTAGCTCTGGTCAAAATCGGCACACCACCCTTTGGTTACACCACTGCAGTATTCCAGCACTCTGGTTACACCACTACAGTATCCCACTACAGTTGAGTCACTAGGAGTCATCTGCACTGACCCCTCTTCTCTCTCTCACTCTCAAAATGGCACTACCCACGATAAAACGGTCTAGGTTGTTGTTCCAAAATTCAACACAAATTAAAAAAGAAAGCACCTTCAAAAATACAAAGCATGCAAGGAAAACACACATGAAGCTCACCCAGTGCAACAATTACAGGAGAAGCAGGCAGACTGTTACGAAACTCCTCTGTGATTTCTGTTGTCACCTAAGAAAAGTCAGAAAACATGTGTGGTTAATTGAGAAATGCACGAAATGCTAGTGAAGGTACCATATATCTATGGGTCTATATTTATTCCCACAGAATGTAGAACTGTGGGACACAAGCAAGACGACGTAAGGCGGATCGCAAAGAATGATGCCCGAAGAACTTATCGTGGCCGGCGACTTTACCGCAGATGCACGAATATGGGGATACAAGCGAGACAATGACAGAGAGTGCAATGTCTTCACACCCGCCAAGCAGGCCAATCTATGAATTCTCAACAAAAACAGACTGCCATTCGCATTGGCAAACGTCGCACTGAGAACGACACCACAAGACTTGACATGGGCCATACACAACATCCAAGCCCGAGTGCGAACTGCTCCGACGCCTTGGGAAGCAAGCACCTACCCGTCGAAATAGAAATAATGACAGAAAGACACCCCAACACTAAATGACAGATCAGCTTCATTAACCTAGCACCTGAAAAAGTGTCTAGGTGAGCGAATAATGAAAGCCACATCCACTCAGAAGTACCAAGCCAAACAAGACGACCCAGACCCCGACCTTCATCTCCTCAACTTGTGTGCTATCAGACTGCAAGCCCAACAATGTTACAGGAGAAATAAGGACTGAAAGCTCCAAGCCAATTTCAAAGCAACCACGGTGAAGATAAAAAATACATCCAGAAGCTCCGTAAAAAACTGAGGTGCAAGCTCCGAGATAACACACGACGAGTGTGGGGCACATTCAAAGGACTCTGGCAGGAAGGCCGACAACTTTAAATCCACTGCTTCCTGGTACACCAAACCATTCCCAAGTAAATAAAACAGCGTCAGCCGCCGCATGCGAGTTCCTGTCTTCCCTTATCCTTACTATCCTTGGTGACAACAGCGCCGCCTTCATTGAAAAAGACACAAAGGATCCCCTATTCTCCCAGGAAGCCAAACAACAGGCCCACTGAAAACACCTCACGGCTCTACTCAAAGAAGACTTAGACCCACTCCCAGATGGTAATTATACCAGGTGGGAAGAGGTTCGCCTGAAAAGACAACGGACCTACACCACTATGGTTTCCAAGGAAACAGCAAAATGTAACACCCACAAGAACATGGTGCATAAGCCGCCATACACAGGAAAAAGACAAGAGCCTATGCGCCCACTGCGAGGTCACAGTCTCAGAAGCGCATTCCTGGTACTGCCAACACATGCAAGAACCCCAAACCTTGAAAGAGTTTGTTAATCCCACGGGTATTCGGGAATACCAAAAGGCTATTCTCCATTCACCCCTCACTTATGTGAAAGAGGTTCGTCTCACCCACTTTATTTTCATCTCACCCTTATTTCCTTTAACCCTTCATCCCACCTACAGGAGATAGCGTTTGCTGAGATTAAAGGATGCGGTTCCTGTTATTTTCTCACTAATAAGAACATTTTTAACTACAAACATTTCTTGTCCTAACGCTCAATAACAACTAAAAAACAACGTTAAATAAGCAGCAATGTATCTGCTGATATCTGTCACAAAGCCTCATTGTTACACCTGCGGGACAAGGAAGTTGCTAATATTAAAAACAAATGATCCTAACTTAGGAGTCGAAGTGGAAGTACAAACGTTTGTCACTAGTTAATTCTCTAGCTTAATTTTTGTGTTAACTCTAACACTCGATCCCAAAAATGCAAAACATCATGTGAACCCATTAGAAGCAAGTGGTACAAGAGTGGGTGCCCACCGCCGCTCCCGCTTTGGTTTAGTGAAATATTTATGTAGAACATACTATAAGATGACCCAACCTAGAGTTGCATATCTTCCCATTGCACTCTAATATGAAGTATAATAAGTTGAGCCACCTCAGCCAGGAAAAGATTAAGGAAGGTTCGGCTCCTCGTAGAGCAATAGTAATTTCACTTTTTACGTGCTCATTATCAGCATTGTCGTCAGATACCAAGAAAGCGTTCACAAAGATTTTGCAGACAATTCTGAAAAAGTGGGGGGATGGTCGCTCAGAAAGCGAAACTGCAGAAAGAGTACAAGGCATTGCTCCAATGGTTAAAAATCACTAGGTAGGCACCTATTCGGACATAGGTGCATGACCGGTATGTTACGGTATACAGGAAGACTGATATAGCTGAAAATTTCAAAAAATGAAGAAAAGTTTAGTATTTCCAGATGCATAGTTTCTCAGTGGAATGCTGACTGCCTGTGTGAGACTTCCAGGAAGTTATTTTCAACAAGGTCATGAGGATGTGTCTTTGGAAACAAATAGCCTGGTTATTATGAATGCTCCCACCTGATGTAACTGGAAGAGCTCTCCGAGGTTTTCTTGAAAGTAGGATGCAAGCAATGGGAGGAGGCAGACAGCTGCTGCGTTTTGATCTTTGAACTCTGCCTCGGCCTTGTTGAATTTGAGGCTCCACTCGAGCACAGCATCATTTTTGGGGCTTGAACGTAGCAATGTCACGAGGAGGAGGACATCTTTGGGCAGCCTCAATTTTCCGTCCAGACAGACACCTGTAAGCCTTAAAAAATTCATGTTATCACTGACTCCTCATATCCGAAATCTTTGTAATCAAAATACCTTGTTGCGAAAAGCAAAATATGGAAGGAAAGAAATCTGCAAGGACCACTGTATGGTGAAAGTAGCAATCGTATTCGTCGTTCAAAGCACCTTTTTATGAGCATAATAGTGTATGTTTGTTTTAGGAGTGAGTGACTCTTGCAAAGAACTGAACATATTCGGCCTTTTTAAAAAGGTATATTTGTGCAAAAAGATTTTCAAGCACACATGCCAGGAAAAACTTTGAAACTGCTGCAAGTTTCCAATTTGCCTTATTCACTCAGTTATGTGTGCCTCCATGCTGCAGTGCTGAAATGTTTCTTGCCCTCTACCACATGCTATTGTGACTGCTCTACCAGAACATTGAAGCCATAGTTACATTTATAGTTAATGATATTCCCCACATTCTAATTGCTTACTCACGCTGCCCTAGTCCATATGCAACTAAAACAGTGGCCACCAAGCCCGAGCATTATAATGGTTAATAATAAAAGGAACACTTTTTTGTCAAATTTGCAGCTCCCATTGTCGTCAATTATATAACTATAGCTTTGCATTTTTCGACACCCTGTAAATAACTCTAAACCTGAGTAAACTCATGGACAAATATTTATGAAAATTATACCTATGGAAGTGATCAAGGAGGTGCTCCCTCACAAACAGAAGTAGCCACGCTCGTTTGACATCCAATGCTGAATATGGAGGCTCTGACGAATTTATGAACGTCCTGATGTGGGGGTAGCACTCAGCCATGGCCTTTGTTTGAAGGCAAATGTTTTGTTCACATGTCGACTTCAATGCCTCGTCCAATAGAAACTTTCTTGAGGCTTCCACTTCATGAAGTGAAGAACTCGTAGTAGCTGGCTGCCAGTTCACACAACCGTAAGCTGATCGAAATGTCTGCTTCTTTAGCTTGATGGTTCCACCAGTGAGCGCTTCCGCAAGGCGTTTGCATCCTCTTCTGTTGTTTTCTATCCTGTTCTCTATTTTGTAGGCCAGGCCTACAGAAGAAACTGACGTAGCTGAGCAGAAAGTGGGGTCCACAAGTGCCCCAAGGTACTTGTCAACAAGGTAACTGGCAGCACTCCTTATTTCACGTGCAGATGGTCTAGCCTTGACTTTTTGACAGGCCGCGGCAGCCATGCGCACAACTTCTTGTCGGTCAGTCGGATTAAGTTGAGTCCCCTCTTGCAATGCTTTCATGACGTCTTTGCTAAGGCTGCTCCAGGGAAACTGAACTTGTGAACCGAAAGGCACATCGACACCTTCATGTTGTGTTGATGTTACATCCCCCTGCTGACCTGAAAACGAAGTGCAAAACATCATTCCAAAAGAGGCAGACAAAAAAAAGAATAGGGATAATAAAATAACAGTGCAGCACCATATTCAGTTTAAACTTAGGGGAACATTTCTTTTGGCTGTGGTATTTCAAAATACAATGCGACAGTAACTGAAGGAGGTCGACATCCAAACTTCGGGCCACCAAGATGCTCTACCACAGAGCAACGATGCAAAGCAATTGAGCTTGAGGGACGTACACATAAAAGACATGGTATTTATGTAATCATATCAAAAGTAGGAAATTGGCTTTATTATAACAACCGCCATCCCGCCTCATCCGAGTGCAAAGACATACTTTTGTAAAGTATCTCCTTGCAACATCATGTCAGATGGTGTCAGCTAGCTGTACAAGCTGACGAAACGTTCGAGAACAAGTTAAAACAATGACTAGGCCAGCAAGGTTGACAAACACGTTTTAGCTCAAGCAAGTAATTTCTTTTTTCCTTTGGTCTTTTTGAAGGCCTAGAGATGATCAATCATTGCCAGTTATTTGATATAAATGGCTTCCCTTAAAGAGCCTGCACCACCCGACTGTTTGATGTGCCCTTCAACAAGCTTGATCCACCGCTCGTAAGAGCCTACTGGCATGTGGACCTGTCTTTTGTGCTTCACAACAAAAAAGTGTGCTTTGCCACGACAAGCCTTAAAGGGAAACTAAAGTGGTTCTGTATTTTCGACAAATTAAACACTTTAATTATCTTCTTTTGGCCCCCAGGACCACAAATATTGGAATTATTTTTTCAGTCTGATGCGAGGAGCAGTCGTAACAGTGCTTTGGAAATAGCGCCAAAGCCCTGTCATCTTTGAGCGTGACATCATACCCAGATTTGTCGGAACTTCTGCTCTTGCGTGCCTACAATACCCATCAAAGCTATGCACGTGCACTCTTGATATTGTCAGAAAGGCCAGACAAAAACGTCACAACCAGTGTCATGTGCAGGGTAATATACCTGGCAAGCTTGCAATTCCATGTGCTGCCCACATGAGCAAAACGCGCTTGGCGGCCGAAAAATCTGGATATGACGCAACGACCGGCCTAAGGTCTCTTGAGTTTTCTCGCATTTAGTTAATCTTCAGGATTCACGGGATAACATTATGCTGGAATCTGGCTCAAACTCAGTTTTCTTAAGAACCTCTTTACTTCCCTTTAAAGGCAGACGCACAGGGAGCACTTTCTGCATGTCTGAAATCCCTCCCGTAGTGTCCTCTCCCCTCCCTCTTGCACTCTTCTCTCCTCCTTCCCCGAAAACAGAATGTCCAAAAACTAGCCCCCACAGAGAGGAGGCAGTGTCTCTTCCTCTTTGGAGTGCAAACGAGGAAAGCGAGGGACAGCTTCCTAATCGTTTTGCATTCGTCAGCCTTTAAGAGTGTTGGCTATTCATTCCGGTAAATACAACCACTGGTGCCAGTGTCATTGCTTGTTTTGTTCTCTTCTTGTGCATCTGAGTTCTGTCAGAGAAGACCAATAAGCTAACTTTTTATGTCTTTCATGTGTTCGCTTACAAAACACAATGAGCACGGTACCTATAGGTTTTACAATTTCTCGAAAGAGAATACCAGCTCACTTTTCTGGACCGTAGACATATTCTAGAATATTAATAAATATTGTTATTATATTGTGTAACTAAAATTTCAAGCAAAATAATCCAAGTGCATTTCTTTGTAGTTTGTGGTTACAGTCTTTGAAACTTCTAACTATGCCATCGAAGTGTTACGTTTGAAGCAAAAACTCTATACTGCACGTCTGTTGCTAATTGCCTGCATAATAAATAAAGACTAATTGGCAGAAACTTTGCTAAGGAACCTTTATCAATTAAATAAGTTCTTTTTTTCCGTTCTATGAAATTAGGTGTTTCGAAGTTATTTTTCATTTCTCATATTACGTTATAATTTGCTTCACATTTTCTTTTAACTGAAAAATTACTACTCCCCCATTCCTAAAGTAAATTCAAGCTTGGACTTCCCTGAAACCCAAGAATCTGTTGTTGCAATGAAGGTGTAAGTAGCATCCTCAGGTGACTGATTCAAACAATTGAAAGCTTCTTCGTCCACCTCCGTACCATCCAGCATGTGTACCTGGAAACAGGGTATGTTATTTTGACAATAAGAATGGATAAGTACATAATTTCAACTGCTGAAATTATTTTTCAAACCTTGATGTCTCCATTGCAGCATATACCGAACTCTATGGCCTTTTTCTTTATGGCGTCGAAAGTGGCAACCACTGCCAGTTTCTTTATTGTTTTATCAAGGCTCCAGATCTTGACTATCATCTGAAAAAAAGTGAACGTACAAATGCAAAGTTTATGTTATGTGCTACAAAACAATTGTAATTTAGAAAAAAAAAATAAGGGTGCAAGTTAGCTGGTAAAGCATTGCTACAATTTAACAGGGTGTCTACAAAATTAGTGATCTTAAATGCCCCGACTTTTCCCAGTTTTTCCCTTGACTATTTTGATAAAATCCCGTGAGCATTTGCGGGTCAAAGGATCATATTTCAGAAACATTATTCGGCATGGCTGTGCTCATGCGCAACCATCTAGCTTTGTTCCGCATTGCCATTCCACTTTTACTGATCATTTTCCCTTGTGGGGCCAACGTTTTGACGATATTCCCTGATAATTTCACGACTTTTCCAAATGGAAACCTATTTACGTTACTCCCCACTACTGCAAATTAAAGTTATTAGACATTGCGGGTGTAAAAACTAGGGAGCCTTCATGTGCGCTTTGCTAGGGTGATGCCACCCTTTGTAATACCACTCACCGACAAACCAGCAGCCATTTTGGTCCTTGGCGATAATCCGTGGGCTTATAACCCTCCCGGAAACAAGCACCTTATCTCACAAGTTCGGAGCAGTGTTGTGGAACCCACGGAGGGAGGATTAGCATTTCCCCCCTTGGATGGGAGGACCGATGGACACAAAGGCCACTTTCCGGCGCACGGGGAAACAATTAGGAACAAAATGGCAGTGGACGAGGGTGTGGGAAAGGGAAACAGGCAGTTGGCATCACCCTATGCGAAGCGCACATGAAGGCACCTTAGTAAAAACTTGCAATGAATGATATATTATATTAAAAAAAACTAGAAAAGCCTGCCTAGAGGTTTTTTGTTTGGCCTACATTTTCCAATTGTCTGTGCTATGTCTGTGCTATACTGAAAAAGTGAGTTGCAGAATGTCCCCCGTTTTTAAATTTAAGGTAATTTCCACACAAATCACTGGTATCATACCTTCAAAATCGTCGAACAATAGTGAACTCCGCAGCCTGATCACAAGACAGTTGAGGAGTCTGTACGAGACATATGCATGTATGTCCATCAGCTGAGAGGAAGACAACAACTGTAGCTCTTCCACTTCCGATTCCATCAACTTGTAGAGCCTGAAGTTTGGGAGGAATGCAGACGCTGCTTTTTTCACAAGAAATAATGGAGTTGCCTCATGGCCAGACTCTACCACAATATGCAGAAGCTGGCCGAACTGCAGGTTGTACTGGTCCCCAGCAAGCACTATGTAAGAACCTGGCTTGTAATGTGTGCCACATAGTGTCACTGACGAAGCAGTCATCAAGGTTTCATGACTAGTGGGCAAGTTTTTCTGAATGAAGCACCAGAAGTTTTTGTCGAAACTGGCTATTTCAGATGCAGGAGCCAGGTCACTGAACGCCGCAGCTGGTCCAAACAAGCCTTCCTTTTGCAAGTAAGACTGCAGGAGCTGGTGTTTCTGAGCAAGTGACTTTGTAACATTAATAAAGTTGCCAGATGCTCTAATGCAACGTTTGAAGTAGCTGTGCTTACTTTCGAATCGGAGAGACCATACCTTCACGAGTGGTCCAAACTGTTTAATGAGATAAGGATAATGGAATAAATAATGATGCTTTGGACGAAGTGGAACAGCTGGAAACAACCTTACCCTCTCACAGATGTAATCACTGATCAAGAGTGCCAGATATGACACTTGGTCATCTGAAATGGCAGTTGCCATGACGAGTTCTACAATCTGTTGGAGAGTCAAAAAGAGACGCCACATTTCGTTAGTTGCATCCTGAACTTTGTCTCCCACCATTATTGGTAGAAGTAACAAAAGGGTGTATGTAGTTTTGCAGTGCCTGGCCTCCAAGCTTTTTACCACTTATGTTCATTGAAGCTGGCTTGTTCCTTCGGTCACACGCGTTGTACTTAAACTTGAACTGTATTGTTGCATTAAGATGGTGGTAAGAGAACCATTTCAGTGTTTTCACGAAATATTTTATCATCAGTGCAACGTCGTAGTCAACAACACCTTCAAAAACATCATGCCCAAGACATGGCGGGAGCCCAGGAAGACAGACATGAAATGTTGAAAGCTTGTTGAATGGAGAGTCGTGTTTGACTCCCATAAAACCCTGTTCTTGGCTGTCCTTAGCACGGTTGACTGCTTCAGTGTATGATGAAACAGTTCGAAGCTCTGCTGGCTTGTTGTTCCTAAAATCTTGCATGGTTGTAACACAGTACCGGCATATGTAAGAGGCCCTGCTGAAATTCTCCACAAAGCCGCCAATGCTATAGCTTCCAAGGTTGTCACGGCATATAAAAGCAAGCTGCACAATGTAACGGTGCCCGTTCACTGTGATGCCATCTTCAAGATCTTGGAGGTCACTGATGAGTCGCTCGAAGAGCTTCCTACAACCAAAGTGTTTAAAGTCTTTATCATGGCAAAGCAAAACAAGCTGTTCAGGGTCAACTACGGTTCTGAGGTAAGGTGGTAGGTTTCCAAGCGTGAAGTATACCGCTAACATTTTAAACTTTCCACGGGCTGATCCAAGGGGATTGGCGACTTCGAAAGCATCTTGGTATAAGATTACCGATACAGTACTGCCATCGGATGATATCCGGCTTTGAAAAACTTTGCTGTCTGTGAATTCCCGATACACACCATCGTTGCCTCCCTGCGCGTTGAAAGAGAGTTTGCACAGTACATCTGGGTTAGAAAGCAGCGAATGAAGTGTCACCTTTATGGGCACATAGCTGTAATGTCGCATTTCGTTGGAATAGTCTAATCCAAGAGAGATTTCGACTGGCTTATTGTGATGAAGTTGGTTAGTGTAGTAAACATTTCTCATGTAGCTTGAGCGAAGAGCTCCATCACTTGAAAATGCAACAGACAAAGGACTCTTCCCAAAGGAGTGGTCAATTGCCTCAGTCATTTGGTCTCTTGACATCTTATCGGTTAGGTGAGCTTTCAAATCAGTCATAAGATGCTCCTGTGAAATGCCATGAAGTCTTTTCACGTCATCAACTATATCCTGGACGATTGAGGACGGGATCAAATATTTTGACTCAAGCTTCAAAGTAAAAAGGGCCATGCTTTCAAGGAAAGAGTCTTGATCTAAGTGAGTGGGATGCACATCATCAATGACTGAAGGCACTTCACTCTCAACGACTGGTTTTTCCCTAATGTTCTCCAGACCATTGTCATCCTTGCTACAGCATGACGTCACTATTTCATCCTGCTCTACTGGCTCTGTCACCACTGATTTTTTTTTTCCATTTCTATGGTATATGGAAAGATGGGTCTTGAGTGAACCCCATGTCCTAAGCTGGCTATCACACGCATCAATTGGACAAGTTACAACAGTTGGCGGGTTGCCGGTGAGATGTTTTTTGAGGTGCTCGATAAAAGCCTTTCCAGGGCTCACCTCTTCACTGCAGGAACTAACACTGCATGTCCGGCAGGATTGGAAGTTAGTTGCATTACGAGGTGCAAGCGGAGAATGACACCTTGTGATGTGGCTTCGCAATGAGTTGTAATTTTTGAATGCAGCCTCACAGCCGACAACGCTGCATGTAACACCTCTTGATGACGTTTCATGATATAATGTGTGCTTGAAGAACGTGTCCAATGATGTAAACTTTTTCTGGCATCTTTTGCAGTGATGTCTCATCTATAACCAAAAAGGAGTGCTTGGTTTATTTCAAGTTGATTTAATATTGAGCACGTTTGTTAGGACCCTGAGAAATACAATATCCTAAGACGACATGAGAGCTGAACAATTTGGCCTTCTTTTTTCGGATTGAAGATCTACTTTAAGTCCCAAGATCTGCAAAAAAAAATTTTTTCTCTCCACGATTTTGTACTTATACACATGATCTTTGCATTTTTATAAAGGTACCTGAAACATTACCAATATTCGAAGCAATCATGGCGAAGTCCTAATCCAAAGATATTAATCCTTGACCCCAAATTTTTTTATTCCTGCCACAACTGAAATCAGTGAGCATTAAATCAACTGTGCTTGTGAAGATAATGACACACAGCATAAACATACACCTATCTAGAAATGAACACAGTAAGGATTATAAAACACTTAACGTGAGCTTTCATCAAGTTTCAAAACTAACATTGTGTTTAAACTGAAGTACAAAACAGCGATCCTCAATGTTCTGTGTTAATCTGAAGGCAATGTTTCTATTTACACCAGAAAGATAGAACACCTGCACCTGCCTGTCTACACCTGCAGCGTGCGTGTCGTCTTGTCGTTCAGTCTTAACATACAAAACTATGTTTCCGTGTTCTTTTAGGTTGCCCGAGCCATGAGGAGCTACAGTCTAGCATGCTAACATTGGGCAGTGATATGAATGGCCGCAGTAATTGTCATGTGAAACGTTCGGCTAGGTTTTCGTTTCTGTGCATCTGGCTTGAGAGGTCAGGTGAACAGAGCTGGGCTGGAATGGTATAGCGCCTTGTCATTCATAGCTTGAGCAGTGCAATGAAAGCCAGGACGACGCAGCGCTATTTGATTTAAACTGCTGCCAAGGGCAAGGGAAAGGAACATGGAAAGGAGTAAGTAAACAACGCTGGCAAGGGAAGGGAAGTTCCTCCTCTCCTTGCCAGCTAACCATCTGCTTCCTCCACTCCCACCTTCCTTTCCCTAGCATTTCGCGCTTGACTTACTGTTTTTTTTTTTTTCTTGCTCTTTTCCATTTTTTGTTTGCGTTGCAGTCTACCGCGAATATATTTCACGCTAACGCCCCGCAATTGCACAGTAATGCGACACATTTTTTTACCACCTTTTGGGGCAGAAAATTGGTTTTCTAGATATGTGGGCCGGCTTGCATGAAGCAGAGTCTCGGTTGAGACTGCTCAAAGAAAGCGCTGTCAAGGCTTGTGCTTGAGCTTAAACCGAGTCCTAGACGCTCGCGCGCCCGAGCCTTGGCAGCGCTTTCTTTGAGCAGTCTCAACCGAGACGCTGCCTCTCGCAAGCCGGCCCAGGCATCTAGTTTGTTCTCCTTTCTACCTCAAATACTACAATAAGGCAGATGACTTAACTCCAACTATAAGGCAACATATCTCTTTTTTTTTTTTCTTTTTTTTCCACTGCTGGCAGCCACTTATTACGGTGCAGTTACCAAATCATTTCTTGCCCAATTTCATTTTCTTTTTTTCTAAACACACGACGCGCTTCGTGCGCCCTGCTGTGCTGAGACCGTTTCTTCTCTGAACAGAGCTGCGCCGCGATAAAATGTTAAGGCTGAAACACATTTACAAGAAAAGAAACCGAATATAGAACGGAAATCGGAGGGTGCAAAAATTGTTGCACGCAAATTTGGAAGACAAGTTACACGAGAAGACTGATCCCGCGCAAAAGGCAACGTCCTCCGCAGTAAAATTAACGCAAACAACACCAAACGTGCACTCTTGATATATATATATATATGACGCCGTGATTAGGACTTGACAGAATCATCGGATAAAAAGAGACTGGCTGTATCAGCTTTGGTTTTCGAAGCAACCGAGGCCTTCACGCACCGGTACAAATACTGCTATTACAACAGATAAAGTAAACAGAAGCAACGTGCGGAAACCAGTGTACGTATGCCACCGGTCACGACATCCTTCTACAGCCACACGCTTGCCTCGTTCTTATTCACGAAGTTCCTGTTAGATTAATTCATTCTTACATGCATGGAGTCAGCCACAATCGGCGCTCGATGTTTAGTTGAGATTGAGATGTGCACCGACACGAGCATCGGCCGACGTACAGTCGGGAGCAAAAGTTTGCGGGGCACGGGAGCGCCTGCCGAAAAAACTGGCTGCGCCTTCTCACGGCACGTTGCTGCTCCAAGACTCACGCCTTGCGCACGCGCTTCCTTTCTTGTTCGCGGTCATGCTTTTTTCGCTCGCTTCCGTTCGACACGCACGATATATAACTGGGACTGGCGCAAGGTGCCGCGAAATGTTATCTGTAGCATGCGCGAGTTTCGTCACCCATCACGGTGGCTGAGGCAGACGCGCGGCGTGATGGCTGTCATAGCGGCACCTTGCGCCGGTCCCCGGTTATCTCGTGCACGTCGGGCGGAAGCGAGCGAAAAAGTCATGGCTTCGAGCACGAAAGGAAGCACATTCTCGAAGCGTGAATCTTGAGAGCGGCCGCGCGCCGCAGAAGGCGCAACCAGTCATTTCGGCTGACGCTCCCGCGCCCCGCAAACTTTTACCGCCGACTGTACACGAGCAAACTCACCGCGATCTTGCTTTGCCCGAATGCCACAACACAGCGAACAGCCCACATAATTCTCAGTCTCCGCAATGCTCCGTTCACCACATACACGTAACACGACAAAGATCGGCGAAAATCAGTCTTCGTACAAAGCTGATCAAAAACCGCGGAAACACTCAAACAGCCTCGGCGGCTGCCGCGGCTGCGCCATAGAGTAGAAAACCCGGAGAGGGACGGAACGGACGGAACTCCCGAAGTAACGTTGCGACATCGCTCCGTCCCCCTCCGGGTTTCCCCGCCGGAAGAAAAGAAAAGAGAAAAAAAAAAAAAGAAAAAAAAAAAGAAGGCAATAGGAGTTGCTGTCTGATTTTCGTTTGCGATTTCTTCATACAATTTGGCCGCTTTTCGGAAATGTGTTTCAGTCATGACTCATTACGTAGAGTCCGGCGCCGTCGCTACACAGTAGCGCACCAAAGAATGGAGAAAACTAAACTCAACGAACTCAACAAAAAAAAAAAGAAAAGAAAAAGACCGCGGACTTCAAGACGAACTGCAAAGCATTTGAGTACTGGCAGTGTTAGACACGAAGGTCGAATCGATCAATTTAAAGTTTCCTAAATCCACACAAGTCTACCGTAACAATATGAGAGTGCACGGAAGCTAAATGTCGGCTCGGCACAAACGAACAAAAAAAAAAAGGAATTTTGGCACTAGTTTTTTACACTTCGGTCAAACGTATATAGTATATTATTGTGGGCACTTGAAACCTCATTGCACTGTGTCGCTTTGCATGTTTCGAAACAAATTGCACCTGAACAGCACGTTATGTCGAGCAAGCAGCTACCGAAAAAATCAGCGTGCATGGTCCTCGAACCGGACCAGGGACCTCTGCCTTTCCAGCGGAGCGCTAAGCCAAGAGCGCTTCACGTAGCCGAATAATATTTAACTAAGAAGGGAGCAAGAAAAACGTAGAACACCGACACACTACGTCTCGTGATAATGCTAGAGTAACACTCGAAAGCAACAAGGCAAAGACCCCGTCACCCTAGACGCTACGCACCTCCAGCGCGAGGCGCACATCGTCTGCACACGCTTGTGGCGAGCAATGCATAATAGTGAATCCAGACAACTGCGCGACTCATCAAAGAAAACAGTGGTGCGACAGGTATTCATCAAACAGTTCAAGGAAGGGGATGTAATGCACTTACCGTGAAATCTCCAGGTTTGAGTGCGGCGAACTAAAAACACGTCCGCAAAGTCGCCGAATTGCGCGGGATCTGCCTCGACACGCTCACTGCGCATGCGCCAGGGGTGCCTTCACGCGGACAGCGTCCCACGGGAGCGCGGGAAAGAAGTTCACGTGATCTTCCGCCTCTCCGAATAAAAGCGCTGCATTGACTGCGCCTGCGCAGCGCGCCGGCTATGTCTGTTCGTTCGGGTGCGGTGGAGGGGTTTACGGCAAAACGGCAACGACGGCTCGCGAGCGGCTCTGGTCCCGTTGGCGCTCCCTGTAATTTTACGGTTTTTTTTTTAACAGTGCATTTCTTCGTGCAATAAAGATATTATTCTTATTCTTATTATTATTCACCCTCGTTGAAATTTTGGTCCCATTTTGATATTGTCACGAATGACAAGGTGAAACAAAGAATAACTGGGGAAACTGAAACGTTTAAGGGGGCAAACTTGAGCCCAAAAATAAAAAGGGAACAAAAGAAAGGCAGAACGTCGCGCGCGTCCAAGTCGACGTGACAGCGGAACCGAACGCTGGGGCGAAAACTGACTCCGCTTCGGCACGCGGAGTCTCTTATGTACGCGCGTGGGACTCTGGAACAACCGGCGTGGACGGTTCGGCGCGGAGAACATTTGAACCCCAAGCAAGCAACAAGATTCTCGAATTTGTCAGAACACGAAATTGCAAAAATAAATAAAAAACACGGCGCTCCCAGAAATCCAACCCTGACTGTTCGCGTGGGAGGCCGCGCTGCCTACTTGGTCAGCTGCGCGCCCGGCATTACTGCCCCCTTTAAAAAGTGCATCGCCCCGATGCGGCACAAAACAAAACATAAAATATAAAAAGAACGGCAAGCTAAAGAGTCCTTTGGAACACATAAGGTGCACAGTCCTAACGAGCGAACACTCTAAGAAAAAATGGAGGAAAAAAGTAGCAATGGCGCGTCTTCATCCCTTCTACTGACGGGCCCCCCAGCGGACACGAGAAAGGGGGAAGAAAGAAACGTTTTTCTCCTTCTCCAGGCAGACGGGAGAAAGCTTTCGCCCTCCCGACTCATCTTCTTTCGGTTTCGTTTTTCGAGCAGGTCGCGCACGTTGTTTAATTGTTTAAATTTTTTTATTTTAATTTAATTTAATTAATTTAATTTAAAGCTGTTGAGTTGACTGAGCTTCAGCGGCAACGAAGGCCGCCTGTAATTCCGTCTTCTAGTCTAAACGTGCAGAACATTTCGGTTGCATTGACGTTTTTGTCACTAATTTTATCAAACGAGCAAACTAAGCCGCTAGAAACAGCGAAGTTCCGGAGCACTGCCAGCAGCGCCATGTACACTGGCTAGGATATCCGTCTCCGGATTGCGGGACTCACGCGGCACGGAACGTTGGCACGCAACTACGGTAGCGAAACCACGCGGAACTGTGTCGACGTTTCCGACGTTAAGGAAACCGCAGGAACTGCGTCCAAGACAGGCAGGTTTTGCCGCCGGCTGCCTGGGTGCCTTCCGTGCTGAGTTCGATTCTGTTTTCCGATGCCGAGTGCAACCGGCGTTCAACGTGGTTCTGTTTCGTGTCAGCAACATAGCTGCAACATCCTGATGGGAGTGTTGTAGGTTGTGAACAGAAGACTGGAATTATCGCCGATGTGACAGTGTGTACGCGTGTCAGTGGTGTAACAAGATGAGATGGCGTAAACTGTCGGGCATTGATGCTGCTGGTCGGGCCGTGATCGGAGGGGGCGGGGTGTCGCAGGTTGACGTTTCGCTTTACATTAAAAAGTTTAATACCACTTGAGGGGTTAGGTGCAATCGATCAACGTGCGGATACTCATGTTGGAACGCTGCTCCTATCGTACAGTCGCCAATGTGACTGTCGGTTGTCTCGTCTCCGAGAGTGATTGCGCTCTGGGGCAAGGACAACAGTACGAAATCGTGACAAAAAGTACGTATATTTACAGTGTGGAATTTTAGCATTAAAAAACAATAGTAGGTAAAATCGAAAAAAAAGCTACCCTTTATTTTGCTGTTTAAATATACTCCGGTTCCTGGAGAAACTGCCCTCCAAGTGGCGCGCTGGGATGAGCGCTAGACGTTTTCGGGCTCACCATGGCGTAGCTTCGTACACTTAACACCTGCCACAAGTCGAGGCTTTGACTGCATTCAAGTTGATCGAAAAGCGATTTCTAAGGCCTTGAAGCATCAATTCCAGCTGAGTGAATATCCGTTCTACAGTGATTAATTCAAGACGAAAATTGCAGCTTTGCGCGAACAGCACAAATAGAAAAACAAACGCAACAATAGAAATACTGGCTACGACGTGCCGCGCGGAAAAACAAACTCATGGCTTCGAACCGCACTGGAGCCGCTTGATTTATTGGCTTTCAAATAATTACGGCATGAACGAGCGTTTGCTGCTTAATAAGAAATTCATCCCCTGAGACATTCAAAATACTCTCAGAGGTATGACATTGCTGAAAAAAAATCAACATGCTGAGAATATTTTTTATTGCTTATTCAGTCACCGAGAAATTCCATCCATTCAAAACGACCAGTATAAAAAACGGAAACGCAGAGCACGGGTGTAGTGTTCGGGCTAGTGTGGTGTTCCGTTTTATTGATATTTGTGTGTGCCCTGTATGTGCTCAATGTATGTTCACCTGATGCTTGTAATAAGCGTAATGTGTGTATCGTAGAGGATCCCCAAGCGCAATAGTGGCCTGAGGTAATCAAATTATGTTTTGTAGAACATAAATTGGAGGGTACCTAGCGCCACCTAGCTACCTACTTGCAATTACTCTGCTTGACCCCGCCATCTGGTGGCTATCGATGTAACCTTCTTTCACGCTACGCGATAAACAGCGGCTTCGAGTTTGCTCTTTCGAGAGCGGCTTTTGGTTTCGCGGATAGAGTTTGCCCTTCTCCGTGATGTGCGGTTGACGAAGGAATTGTGACTCGAGGAACACCAAAGGTAAGACGCAAAGTGTGCGAAGTAACTGGGTATCGGTTGACTCCGTTTAACATCGCAGTGCTGTCGACGAGACGACTGAGTAACTGCTTTCGAAACGCAAGTTTCTGTACCTGTGGGGGAAATCTGGCTTCGGAAATAAACACAGTTCGAGGGAAGCTCATGTTACGCTTTTATTTGCTGCTCCTCTCGTCCCGTACAAGAGGCGTAGCGTCCTCGTCAAGCCTTATTGGGCTCGATTCGCTCAATTCGGGGCCACCATATTGAGATGCAGGCGACGGAGGAACTTTGCTCCCCTGCTTTAGGGAGGAAAGTTTCCTTTTTCTAAAAGAATATAGGTTACAAGACCGTTCCTCCCCTAAGGGAGGACTATCCATACCCTTTTTTCTAAGAGTGTAGTACGGCTTCGGGCGCACGACGTCGACGACTTCAGGTCGTGGTGGGTGGCGTGATGATGTTCTTGTTCCGTCGGGCATCACCTCGCAGTTCAAATCACCAAGTCGACGAAGCAGTTTGTAGGGTCCAAAGTAGAGCTTCAGGAGTTTCTCGCTGAGACCAAGGTGGCGAATCGGTGCCCACACCCACACACGGTCCCAGGGATTGGAGCGAACTTCCATCCAGCGAAGGTTGTACCGGGTAGCGTCCACTGGTTGCTGATCTTGAATTCGGAGTCGGGCGAGCTGACGGACTCCTACGGCTCGTTGAGCAACCACCTGGGCGTCGGAGATCTCATCGTCAGCTGGTTCGTGAGGGAGCATCGCGTCGAGCATGGACGTTAGTTTTCTACCACACAGCAGCTGAAACGGGGTTATTCCTGTAGACTCTTGCACCGCCGTTTTGTAATCAAACGTGACGAAGGGTAACACCTCGTCCAAACTCTTGTGCTCTACATCGACATACGTGAAGGTCATGTCGACGATAGTTTTGTTTGGTCACTCCGTTATTCCATTCGTCTGTGGATGGTACGCAGCGGCTAGACAGTGG